GTTGTCAGGTCCAGTTCAAATTCCTCTCAGTCATTTGCCTTAAGCAGTGTCCATTTCTGAGTCAGCAGGTGGCAAGCTATTACAGAAATCAAAAGGTGAGCCACCACTCCAGATTGTAGATGTATTTATCTTCTCTGTGAACATTTAAAAATTGGTTACTGAATACAAGTTTGCCCATGAAGAGATCATCCTTCAACACAAACCTCATCCTTGCTATGCTGATATTCTCTGACATTTTTAAATGCTTTGCAGAAACTCAGACTTTTTTAATCATCATGAAATATTAATTTATTTTTTATTACTACCAAAACTCCTTCTCACATGAGGCTAAAGAAGGGTGCTGTAGGAAATATATGCTGTTCATAGTCATCCTTGACATTTTGTGTAATGTTGGTCTAGCTCTTTTCATGGACTCCCAATTAGTTGAATAATTAGGAAAAGGAAGAACTGTTTTTAAAATCATAACCACAGTATGCACCTGGATTTACACAACTGCTGGCTCATGATCACTTCACAGATATGCTGCCATACTTTCTTGGCAAATGAGAACTGCTGGACTTTGTAAAACTTTATCTGCCCATGATGACTTTCAGAGCTTGCCTTTCCTTCAATCTTCGGTGAATAGCCCATAGCTATCAATTAAATTTGTGAGACACATTTTATGCCACCTTCTCACTCTGCTGACTTACCTTCTTGTAACATTAAGGGTCTGCAACCAGAAAAAACATAGAAGTATTGCATGAAATGTGATCTAGAATGTTGTGTTCCAGATCCAAGGTTTTAAAAGTATAACAAGTGAGCCATTATCACAGAATTCTGTTTTTGTCATTACTCTTTTATATTAGTTCAATACAGATGAGTTCTGATCTCAACAATGAAAAATGGCTAATAAAAAACATTTAGTTGACATGGAACAAAACTGGGTTTTGGTAGGAAAAAAGCATATTCAGCATTAGGGGGCCATAAACTAGCAAACACAAACACATCTTATGATCCCATTGACTCCAACAAGGTTAAAAATCCCATTGATCTGGCACAGGATTTCATTAATAAAAAAGCCAACCAACCAACCAGAACCACAAAACCCTCTCCTTGTTGATTTTAGGCCAAATCCAGACCATTTTACCTACAAGTAATATATTTTAACCCATAATTCAACTATTCTGAAAAGGCTCAGTTGAGGAGAACATGGAGAAGAATGACTAATTTGATAGGGTTTAGAGTGTCTTAGTTAAGACAGTAGAGAAAACATGCACCTACTGATGATAAAGCACCTACTGGCAATCTTACTGAAGTTCTAAGTAGATGAGAAGGATCTCTCTAGAGCTACTAGAATAGAAATAAATATGCCTTTAAAAATATAAAAGTGGGTTGGATTAATTAAATATACCAGTAAGGGTTCTGTTTCTAGAACTAACCTACACTGGATTAAACAGCATCTCCGAGTAAAAAGACATTACTGCCATGAAGCAAGTATCCTGCCCCCAAAAATAAAAACCAGTACCCCATTAGATCTGCCCCTGAGGACATTGAGAGCATCTGTCAAAGAAGTCATGTTTTTTTATTTTACAAGTCAGTTAATCAAAGGAATTTTATTTTTTTTTCTTATCTGGCTATATTGTACACCATATATTAGATTTTGAGGTCAGATGTCAGGAAGCAGAGGTTCCATGTTATAGGAAAAATTCTGCAATTTTGGGTACTTAGTAACATTAATTTACACACATAAGACACAGCCGTGTGCATTTCCTTGTGCCTCCTTTGGCTCTTCACTGAACTTAGAAATACTACATTTTCTATTGGATTCTTTTCTCATTAAGATGAGAGACCTTAGACAGGAATTGATTACTTTGTGTTTTGAAATTTTGTATTTACTCCCTGGCTTTATGGTATTGAAAAATAGCTGCAAAGTTCCCATCTGGTGGACTGGCCTCAAATGAAAAAAAAAAAAAAAAAAGCACATTCAATTACCCTACCTGTATTTTAGGTAGATTATTAGCACCTGTTTTTTGAAATCTTTGCTAAATATTGTTGTTTTATCAAAGCATTTTAAAAAATGCAATACCCACAATTTTGTCAATTCCCTGGGATGCAATTTCTTATCTATGGTCACCATAAACTATGAGAAAAAGGCACTTTGTTAGTTTTCTATGGATCAAATCCACTGTTCACCAAAGCTTACACAAATGATAATAATAGGGTGACCTAGGCAGAAAAAATCGAAAGTCTAGATAAGTTAAACTGAATTGCTTTTTTCTCTGAACTACAATCTCTGATGATCTTTTTTAAGGATTCTGAAGAGGCAAGCTTCCAACTGCTACCCTCTGTGCTACACGGTACTGTACGTGTTCTGGTAGGACTGCTCTGCCTCTCCCAGCACTGAAACACTGAAATGCCTCAAAATTGAGGCATTGAAAATATTCCTAGCCTTGCTATGTTCTTAAGTAATTGACCTAAAATATTGTTAGAAGGGTTCTACAGATTGGAAATGAATGTTCAGAAAAAGGGATACATAAGTATTAGGTCACTACGTGGCAATAACTTGTCAAAAGAATAGTTACTTATGTATTTATGTATGATCCTAGGTCTACAACAAAGTAATCCTGATTATTTTAGCCTTCAGGGAAAAAAATACATGTCAATCCATGTCACTGTTTCCCAGGCAAGTGTTCAGATTTTCAGGGCTGATTCCTCTGTATGTTAACATTAACATTAAAAAAAATTAAACCCAAAAATCAAACCCATTTTGTCACGCATACAATCTTGACCATGATCTCCTCTGAGAACTCCGTAACAGTGATCAATATAGCTAAAGAATGTACTCTTATCATCTTTACAGATAAAGTGTATTGACATTTTTTCACACATGCATTCTGTTAATTCCATAGTGACTCCAGGATCTCTCAAAATCAGAAAAAGATAAAAATGGTTTAAACAGAATTTAGATTTTTGTTTGTTCAGCAGCTGTGCTTGGTAGCTGTACAGGCAGCTAGTCTTCCAAAGTATTATGTCTTTTGATCTTTTTCCATAGCTGAGTTAATTTTTAAAATAACTTCAACATTTCAGGAATGATCCATGGGCTTGGACTACCTTTCTTTTCCATTTTATTTGGATAGTTTTATTATAGGGTTGGGGGTTTTTATATAGCTCTGCATACAGAAAGTGCCAGCTTGACTCCATATACAGGATCAAAGCCAATTTCTGTCATTCTATAACAGGAAGATGAAATTAAAAACAGCTTGCTCATCAGGATGCTTGAAACATCTTTATTTCACCTGTCTAATTTTTTTTAAACAGTTCTTTAACTTTCCATGGATCCTGTGCTATCAACTTTTTTTTTTCCAAGGTCATGTCCATAGAATTACATTTGATGAAGTGAAAAAAAAGAAAGACAAACTATTAAGATAAAAAAGCCTAGAATTTTGGCATGCTTTTTTTCCTTAATATTTTTAGGGACTAAACACTAGCAGAAAAGAAAAGGAACATTGTACTTTAATAGGAAACAAAAGGTATGTAGAGGTCTTCAATACTATTCAATATATATTGTCTTGCTGTTGGAGAATATGAAAATAAGATATGTCTCTAATCTTCACAAGTTGTACAGCATAATTATATTATGTTTTTTCTAAGGTTGCACAACTCCTTTAAGATATTGCAAGCTCCAGGAAGGCTTATATCAGCTACAATCACATTGCTTTATACCTGTAGGAGAGCATTTTTCTGTGCTGAGTGTGCTGCAGAGAATTCTAGCTCTCCCAAGAAGGCACTATGAAATCCTTAATGTGAAAAAAAGGATACTTAAAGTATAAAGAGAAACACCAAAATCATAGAAACTCCATAGAGTTTAATTTTAGCTTAATTTTATCTGGTCTTTAGGAACGACTGAATTACAATTATATCCCCTAGCTCACCAAAACAGCTACCAAAAAAAAAAAAAGAGTGGCAGGGGTACATGAGAAAGTGAATAGAGAGAAAATTAAATGAAGGCCTAAATTCTGAAGTTGTCTTGCAACTGATTTTTTTCCTACTGTCTAGAAAGGCACCACCTTGGTGCCTGCTGGGACAAATCAGACCTTTTGCTTACTGAAAGCAACATCTAAGACTCACAGTATATATGGGAGAAAATAAAAAAAGATTAAAAATTACATCCAGTGGCAATGAGAACCAAAGTCGGAGCTCTTCTGCACAGAATACACCTGATCCTGCCCACCCTATAAGCCTTTTTCTTCTTATAGCTCTTCAGTGCCACTCATACTTTGCCACATTTCCATACCCAACTCTGAATGCAGTCATGGTCTTTCTTACCATTTCTTTGCATTAGTTACTTTTGTTTTGCTTTGCTCTGGCTTGTAACATGGTAGTATGCCAGCTTTCCTTTTAAGTGGTCTAGAACCTTTTATAATTTAATTACACTAATATAGTACTTACTCATCTGCTTCCTTTCTACAACTAGGCTTCCTTGCATTTTTTTTCAATTCAATTTTCCTGATGGTGACAGATGTAGACAAATTATTGCAGTTGTTCTACACATTTCAAAATTATGTCCACTTTTTATGTGTCTTTATATAAATTTATGCAGCTGGATCCAGGTTTTAACACTTGGGATAGATGATGGCACTTGCTTCTCATCCAGGTGGATTTCAGCACTCTTTCCTGACTCAGCAAGATACATACTTGTCTCTGTACCCAAGCTGTCACCCAGAACAACCAGATCCATGTGAAGAGCAAATGTGACAAGATTTCAGTTACACTTTTTGCTGATCTACTCCAGGCCTTATTTACCCAGCCACCGTAGAAAGAAATCGGGCAAACCTCACTAGTGTATGTTTTGAAATGGATGGTGTCAACTGTAATTAAATAAGATAAATTAAACTTTCATTCTTCACAGTCCTTCATGTCATTCAGCAAGACAACAGCAGTTGTCCTTTCTACATTTATCGATTGATCTTTAGCCTTGAAAATCATAATCAACGAGTTTATAAACATACTGAAAACCCTACCGTAAGCCCACAGGCAATCGAGTCCCAATATTAAGCACGCTTATGGGTGGCGAGGGAGAAGGAAACCACTTCAAGGAGTTGCACAGAGAAATAAACCGTTCGTCGCTCTTTTGGTAAATCTACCAGGATAAAGCCCCGCGGGGAGATCCTACGGATATTGGCGTGGGCCGAGCCCCCCATTTTCGCAACGGGCGCCGGGGTGGGCTGGGCGGCAGGTGGGCCGGCCGGGCGAGGGGCGGGCGGGGCCGGGCGAGGGGCGGGCGGGGCCGGGCGAGGGGCGGGCGGGGCCGGGCGAGGGGCGGGCGGGGCCGGGCGAGGGGCGGGCGGGGCCGGGCGAGGGGCGGGCGGGGCCGGGCTCTCCCTCCCGTTGCCAGGTGAAGCGCAACGTCTCCGCCTCCTCGCGGTAGGCGCGCAGCTCCGCGGAGCGCACGCAGGCGACTCGGCTTGGTCGGCTAAGCTCGGCTCGGCTCGGCTCGGCTCGGCTCGGCCTGGCCCGGCTCCACACGGCTTCGCGGGGCGGCCAGCGCCCCAGTCCCACCGCCCCCCGCCATGGCGCAGAGTATCAAGAAGGGAATCTTCTGTCCGAGCTTCGTGAGGAGGAACTGGCTGCTGCTGAGCACGGTGGCCGCCGTGCTGGCGGGTGAGCGCGGGGACCGGCAGGGAGCGCGGCGCCGCCGCCCCCCGCCCGGCCTTGCGGGCACGACACGGCCTCGGCCGGCCGCAGATCGGAGCCTGCGGCGGGGCGAGGGGCGCTCGGCGGCCGCAGGGCCGGGCGGCGCGGGGCGATGCTAACGACGCACCCGAACGCCGGGCGAGGCGGGCCGGCCGCCCTTCCCCGGCACCGCCGCGGGGAGCGGCTCCGCAGCGTTGCGGTGTCGCCGCGGTCGCGCGGGAGCGGCGCTGGGCGCGGGGCACGCGGCGCCCGTACCCGAGAGCGGCCGGGTCGGCAGCGGGGCCCGGGGCCCTCCTGGGCGGGCGGCTCCTGTCCCGCCGGCCCGTGTGGCAAAGGTCGGTGATCGGCGGCGTGAACCCGCGCCGTGGAGGACGGGCGCGGGGGCTGTGAGCCCTCGGTGCTGCGGGTCCCCAGGGCGGGCTATTCCCCGGGCGGCGTCCGCAGCCCCCGAGGGGACCGCGGCGCCTTCCTTCCGTGAGTCTGCGGGGGCAGCCCCGCCGAGCGAGGCTGTACGACCAGAGAGCATTGGTGGTGGCTTTGGAGAGCTTCTGATGGCCCAAGCGAGCTTTGCAAGTGGAAGAGCTTGCGGTGCCACCCATCTTTCAGAGGAGTTTTGGGGGACTGAGGAGTTCGGCAGTGCCACCCATTTTTCAGAGGAGCTTTCAGGGTATAAAGTTTCTCAATGCCACCCAGCTTTCAGAGGGATTTTCAGGGGCTCCATTGTAAAGATAGGAAGATTTCTCCCCTGCATGTCAACGAGTTTCTGAAGGGGAAATTAGTTGAATGCCATCTTACTAAGGATAGGTGGGCAGAGAGGGCAAAGAAAATGCATCAAAGGACTTGGACAAAGAGTCTCTTCCATAGGACATAATTTTGGCCCTAGTCACACACGTTTTATTAATTTTTTTCCTGGTGATTATTTGGAGAGCTTCCTTCGCATTATTGCTACTGCAGAGAAGTGCTGCTTTAAATACTTCATTAACTTGCTATCTGATGGTTCTCTTTCAGATGACTTTTCTGCAAATTTGCATTTTGGCTGGAACATACCTATTTCAGTGCAAAGTTGTTCAGGAGAGAATTATTATTTTGGAATTCTACCCAGCTATTTATAAGCTGTGATCAGAGCTATGCTTACATATACACGTGCATTTTTTTTATATATTCAGTATTTGAAAGATATCCATTCTTTTTCACCTCTTTCGTAAGTGGAAAGGTTCTTGTGAGTTCTGTATACCAAGTGCTAAGGGCTTGCTTTGAAAATGTGACCATACAACTGGAGGAGTATCTATATGCTCCTGTGTTTGTGTGTGTACAATTACGTTTTCACATACTCCTGTCGGGTGCCCTTCTATGAGCTGACATACTTCCTTCCCAGTTACAGAAGTGGTTAAGAAAAATTCCCCTTGCATTATCTTCAGTGATTGTAGTTTGAACTGAAGTGTGTGGTATGGTTCTATAGGTGGATCATTCTGAAATTAAATTTCTCTGGGAGCCACAAAGTCTGGCAGTATGGGAACTGTAGGGACAATAATGACCCCAATCCCCCTAATACCCAATGGGAATTCACAGTGAGAGAGTGGCAAGCACACAGATGCCTCCTGTGTCCTTGGGCTTCTGGTACACTGTAATTAACAGTCCAGAACTCAGGGGAGCTCTCGAATATCAGCAAAGAGAGTCTTCTTAAGAATTCCATGAGCTTTGAACCAAATTACATTTTACATGTAGCTAGCTATCTGCTGCATTTTCAGTATTTCTTTGAGGTGAAGTAAGGTACGCAAGAACAGTGAAACCCTTGTAAAGATGGAGTTGAATCATATGTTCTGGTTTTACTACAGCTTGAGGAAAGTTTGTAGTATACCTAGAGTCCACAAACCCTTCATAATTAAATTTGCATATTCATTTTTATATACTCTGGGAAATTGTACTGAGGGTTATTAATCTAGTTAGTTTGGAGGAACAATCTACCATTTATGAGCAGAAGAGTAGCACATGATTTTGAAAGAAGTACATACCTTTAGGTTTTTCAGAAAAGTATGATGAATGAGGAGTGGAAATAACAAATGCAGGAAGCTGTGAAAATATGCTATGTAAGCTGTCCAGCTGTGCTAGAAAGTATCTGATATTCCTACACTGTCATAAGGAATCATGATTTTTGCTCATCATTATCAAGCCATGTTCAACATCCAATTGAAATATGCATATCTTTGCTAGTACTCTTACTAAGCTCAAAAGTTTTCCCAATTACTTCTTGTGTGCATCTCTGACAAGAGACAGAAACAGGAGAAAAACCCTCCTTCAAGAGTAATGATTCCGTGTTATCTTTTAAGCTTTCAACTCTTTGCCTGTGGTTTACGTTCTCAAAAACATTGGAATTTCTTTTATAGCAGTGGGGGGGAGGGGATAATTTAAAATTTATACACAAGGCATCTTGAGTGTCACATTTTTTTTGTGAAAACACCTGAATGCATTTTTCAAAGAAAACAAAACTCAAGGCTGAAGAGGTTATTTTCCTTACCTTAGCATTCTGTTTCAGACCACCAAACTGATGTGGAGAGATCTGTGACTATGAGAGTAGCAGCCTCACGCAGATACCTGCAAAAGGAGACATATCTTGCATCTTTTTACTCTACTGACCTTACTGAGCCCAAAGCAGCTGAGCTGACTAAAGCAGTTTAAAAGTCAACCTACCTCAAGTGCTTCTTCATCCTTTCATATAGAAAGTTACATTGCTTCCAATTTCTACAATCAAGTCAAAATAAACGAGAAATATCCCTGAAATTTACTCACCCTGAAACCCATGTCCAAAGGGCAATTGGATACGGAGAGTTTAAGTCACACTTCACAGGATTCTCATGGAGCATCTATTTTTTGTCATTGCCTTGTCTCCAAGAGGTCACTGCTGCAATACAGCCAAACCAGTCATGAAAGTAAAAGGCTGATTATGTATAAATACTTGCTCATTCATTAGTCTCTGTGTCATCGCCTAATAGCTTGTAATGCTGGGCAATTCTTCAGAGGAACAGCTTTTTTCTTACAGTGGAAACTAAAGGGTAGGTGATTTGCCTACATATGATCTGAGGCATTGAGTTGCAGTAGCACACTGTCCTAGAGCAGAGATCTTTTGATGTTCTCAGAAGTACACAAAAAGGTTGCAGTTCCTTTTTAATACATATTTTGAAAATTATTAGACCATTATCTTTTTTTTGTAGCAGTTCTGTGGTGGGGGAACACGATTCTGAGGTATTCAGTTTGCCTAAATTTACAGGTTACTTCCCCCCTCCTCCCCCTTCCCCAGTAGACTGTCTGAAGTGGGCTTTCTTCAACAGTACATGTGCACTGAAATTCTTCAGGTAGTCACGAGGAAGATGCGAGAAATGCAATATTTAGGTAGATACAGCCACCAGTCACAGGAGACTGTGAATTGCAGGTGTCCTTCCTTCAGCCTGGCATAGATCGTGTTCGTTGGAGGTATTTCAGTGCGAGGCAGTGATGACCACTTGTGTGCTCTGCCATTAGCTTCATCCTCCATTCTGTTCTTCACTTATGGACGTGTTGCTCATGCTGTTCACCTCAGAAAGGGACCCTGGGTGCCATGGCCATGCCGGCGGGAGCCGCGCGGGGCGGCGCAGGGGCGGCGGGAGCTGTCCGAGGTGGCTCAGGGGCAGCCCGCGGACCGGGCAAACGGAGAACTGGCAAAACGCGGACCTGCAGCAAGCGGGGGTGTGAGGCAGGGGTGAAGTGACTGAGAAAGGGTGGAGGTCAGGTGTTCAGGCTGGAGCATGCCTGAATACTAGACTTTTCCACTTCTGAAATGAAGTTTATTCAGTTTCTGCAGCATCAGACCCTTTGCTTATGTAGTTCCCATGTTGAAAGATTGAGGCTGGCATCAGACCTCCTTTTCTCCCCGCATTTGAGAGTGGGATTAAAATATGCATTGTTCCTGTTGTAACACCAGCATTGAAGAAACTTTGAGTATTGTGACTATAGCTTTTTGCCAGGATTTGATGAGTGCAGCAGCCATTGGATCTTCTGGTTTGTGCTTTATGATACCACTATAGCAGTTCATATGCCAAAAATTTATTCTCTTGAATGTTAATGAAAGTTATTATTTTATATTGTAATATTAAGTAGTAATATCTCCCTATAGGAATTTTTTTTTTGTTCCCATGTAAGTCAGGTGTATTCACACCTGCTAAATGAAATGCTCCCTCTATAATCAGACACATGGAGATTTGACAGCTGCTTTTAAAAGCCGTAGTTCCCCATTACCTGGAAGCCCATCAGTGCATTCTTACAAGAATGAATGTCTCACAGGGTGAAGACAACAACAGAGCAATTAGTAACTTATCACTGTGTTGATGGCCTTTCACCATGCAAAAAGCCACTCTGAATCCAGGGAGCTCACCTTTCTCCTGCGTTTCTTTTGTAAATGTAGCCTGCAGCCCCTAAACCCCACAAACCTATAAAGTCTTTCTGTTTCTCATGGTGAGTTGCTTCTGTCTCTGGCAAACATAATTTAAAAATCAAAAGCCCATTCTGGATATGAAGTAAGGTTTCAC